GATATTTGAATTTAGCACATCAAAATACATAATAAATAGCACATTTTATCTCTGAAGCAGACGACTTCTCAAAAATTGTAGACCAGTGTAATTGGTCTTGGTACTCTTTATCCTCTCTGTTTTAAAAGGAGTTGACACATGATGTCTTTTCTAGGACCTTGACTTGGTGACCACTAAGGCATGAGGCATATACAATCCTAGAAATGTAGGACTGGAAGCAACCTTGAGAGGTCATTTAGTCCATCCCTATATGCTTATGTAGGAGCAAGTATACCTAGTCCATCCCTGACAATTGTTTGTCCAACCTCTTCTTAAAAACCTGTAGCGATGGGGATTCCATAACCTCCCTTGGTATAACCCTATTCCAGAACTTAACTATTCTTATAGTTAGAAAGCTTTTCCTAATATCTAACCTAAATCTGCATATTGTCCGACCTTCAGTGGTCTTGAAGAGTAATTGATCACTGTCCTCTTTATGACAGTCCTTAACACATTTGAAGGCTGTCCCCCTATAGTCTTCTTTTCTCACACCTAGTTTTTTTAAGCTTTCCTTATAGATTGTGGTAGACATTTACTGGTATTTGTAAATACCAAGGCTCAGAGAGTAATTGGTTAGTGAGGTGCAGAGGAGGTGGTCAAGATCACTGTGTTGTACTACAGAGCTTTTGTTTCACTTAGTTTCATGGACCTACCCCAGCTTACTGTCTTAAATGATTTCAGCATCCATGCAGACAATAGCTGTACTAGGCTGTCTCAAGATCATACATCTGATATTAGCCTTTCCCACCTGGATTGGGGCTCTATCCATATAGGTGGAATATTCTTTAGTTACTGGTTTTGAACTGAGTTTTTAGAAGGTTGAAAACTGTCCTGATATGGTCCAGTCACCTCCTTCTGTTTGACATTAAAACTTACTTTTGCCCCCATCATGGCAGAAGACTTATTTTACTGGTCTACTCAGGAAGACTGAATGACCTGATGGTACTATCTAGTTTTCTAAGGGTAAATACGCTACTGCTGATGTCCATGCCTATCAGTATCCTCAGCGTTCGCTCCCTATATGTCATCCTCAAAGATTATTTTGATATTCAAATTATCTGCAAAAGATGAACTATGAACTATCTGGGATGAAGGTGAGACTCCAGTGGTGAAAATCACGCACCAAGTCTGATTTCAGCCTAGAGGGATTTTAAGGTTCTTTGCCATATCTATATTGGAGGCATAAGGAAGATAGTCTCTCTCCCCAGGGCATTCTTAGTATGGAGAATTTGGTTTTTCCCGCATCAGATCCAGGATCTGTACATTTTTAAGACATGGTGTAAAGCCTCTCTCTCTCTTCTTCCATGCTTTTGCTTAATTAAGGTTGATTTTAGTGATCAGAAACCCATAGTTTTGCAGCAGTACAGATGTCTTCTTAACACTTTGTACAATGCTCAGAAACTTTAGGCACTTTTATAAACAAAAATGGATAAATAAGTAACTATAAGAGTAATGTAAAAATATGAGGAAAGGAAAATTTAGGGTGAATATCACAAAATATTTGTTAATGGTAATATCTGTTACACTGTGAAATAGCCTTCCAAAAGGAATAATGGAAGTCCTAATCTCTTAAGTTATTTAAAACTGAAAAAAGCAAAAACCTTGGAGAATATTCTTTAGGGAACCATACTACATTAATTTCCATTGAATAGACAAGATGACCTGTATAGAGACATGGTGGGTAAGATAATCTCTTTTATTGGACCAACTTCTGTTGGTGAGAGAGACAAGATCAGGGCCACCCAGAGGATTCAGAGGGCCTGGGGCAAAGCGGGGTAGCAGCGGCTCTTGTACTCACCCGGTGGCGGTCCGGGATTTCAGCAGCGGGGGGCACTTCAGTCGCTCCGCGTCTTCAGCAGGACTGAAGGACCCCCCGCCGCCGAAATGCCGCCGAAGACCCGGACTGCCGCCAGGCCAGGGCTCGCGGGGCCCCTGCGGGGTCCGGGGCCTGGAGCAAATTGCCCCACTTGCCCCCCCCCGGGCGGCCCTGGACAAGATTGTCCAAATTGGTCCAATAAAAGATATTACCTCACCCACCTTGTGTCTCTAATATCTTGCGACCCATATGGCTACAACTACACTGCATACAAGATGACCTCTGAACTTTTCCATTTCTCTGATTCAAAGACCCTATGTCCCAACTCCCTGTTACATATCTGTTTTGCTGTTGTGGTTTTGGCCCTTCTTTTCTTCTTCTAGTTGATTTTTGTCCATATCCTCCAAGTTGTGTCTAGTGCATACAGTGAGCTATAGAGCCATATTGAGCTTCTCTTCAGGCAGGAGTTTAGTAGCTACAGAGACATGCCCACTGATGGAAACCTGGTAAAGTGTGGTACACAAAACTGCATTTTCACTTTGTAAATCTTATATTTATATATTGTGCTCTTGAAATACTCCTTCTCCTGACTGTGTAGAGAAACTATGCTAGACCTGGGCATGAAAGAAGCAAGGAAAATCCAGTCTCTGCAACATAATGGACAGAAACCAGATAGTTTTGTACTATAAACCAAAAGAACTCTCTCATCAAAGTCCTCATATTGATGTTCCCAAAGCACTCCCCTTTCTAACGCTCTAATTTATATATTGTCTGCCGCAGACACTATTCTAGAAATTTCAGTGAACGTGCAAGGAACACACTAGTTCTTACCTTGCTCAGAGGAGAGAAATATGTTATAAACAACATATATGTAACCAGTCATGCAGAAGATCACTTAACACTTTCATTTGCCCTTGCTATAATGATGTAGACTTGATTGGACAAACAGAAAATCCCTTGGATTTCCAGAAAGATTCAATATGCTATCACTGCTCTGTTGTGCTGCAAGAGGGCAGAGGAAACCTGAAACTTATACCGAGGGTGAAATTCTAATTGAATTCCTTCCAAAAATTATGTATCTTGTAATTAATACAGATAGAACAAGGTTTTGTGCATTCTTACTCTATGACTAAGAAATTACTCTATTAAATTCTTATTTTGTGTTCATTATTATGGTGTCTGTGTGGCTGGAGACATTTATGTATTTCAGCTACTCAACATAGTGAAATGACTGTGTATCACACCACTCCTCTAACCTTTCCAATAGTGAAAGGGTTGGCTGTTTTGGTTACCTACCAGCTAACTGTCAGTTGTGCACTAAGTTAAGTTTATCTGGCTTAATTTAAGCAATCATTTCCATTTTCTCCCTTTCTCCTCTGAGTTGCTTTGAATGCCAACAAAACTCATTTGGTAAATTGTGTGGCTGAGGAGCATACTGTGACATTTCTCTGTCATTTCAACATCATGTGAGCTTACCCAGGAATTAAACGGTTCATAAAATCCTTTAAAATCATAAAAGTGAAGTTGATAAAGTTACAGTTAAGGGGATTGGATTGATGAGAATTTGGAACATAACATTTTGAGTACGTAGAGTTTTTATTCTTTAAGCATAAGGGGCACACAAATTGTCCATGAAATTGGGCTTTACGCTTTTTCAACAAGCCAAATATTCAATGCCTGCAAAATGTAGAAGAATTTTTTGTGCTTGTGCAAAGATTATTGTAATGCTAAAATGTTCTGGTGCTGTTACAAAGACTGAGGCCTTTTTCAGTAGCGGGGAGCACCTGCCAACTTCACCTATTGTGTGACATCTCAGTGATTACTCTTTATTTGTCTGTGTTCCAAGATATTGTGCTGCTTCTATATGAAGTGTTAATATAAAATAACTATTTTAGTGTAAGATGTTATGTTTTTTGGTTGCAGGAGAATCCAAATCCTCACATGGCATTCCAGAAAGTTCCACGGCCCACGGAGGGATCCCATTTACGAGTTCATATCCTTCCTTTCCCCAAAATTAATGACAGCCGGGTTAAGGAGCTAATTCAAGAATGCCTGGCTAAGAACCAAAGTGCACCACCAGCTACTCGGGTAGAAAAAAAGTGTGTGGTTCCTGCTGGTCCGCCTGTTGGTATGTTGCATTGTTATCTGCCGTATATTTATAAATCCATATTAGCATGAGTGAAAACATCTACTTTAATTAAAATGTGTTTTAATGGGGTGTTTTACTGAGAGATGAGGGAAGGCAAGAAGGGAATTCCTATCGTAATGAATTGAACATATCATTAATATATCAAATTTGTTGTTCCCAATTCAGCACTTATGTAGTGGGTTGGTTTCAGAATTAATGTAAGATCAATGTGCCATTTTAATACCTTTTTAAATAAGAGCTAGGTATTATAAACTTTCTCAGAACAAATCCAGGTAGAAAGTTTCCCAAAGAAATGAGGAACTTGCCTTTATCTGATTGAACTGTAGATTTTCCAGTGTACACCTTTTTAATATTAATTCCCTTTCCTCATGTTGGCTATGTCAGCACACATAGGAGCTCTTATGTGTGTGTGGGGGGGAAAGGCATATTCTGCTCTCATATCCATGGCGTTCTCTCTATTTTTGTTGGGGGGAAGGTGGAGGGGGAGAGGGAGAGCGAGAGTCAGAGAATGCTAGATCTATCAAATAATCTCTAGAATTCAGCAAATTCTAGATAGGAGAACTGGGTTGTAAACTTGTTTTTCAAGTCAGAAGATCATTTAAATGCTTGATTCTTCTGAGGATTTTTATTATGGAGGATCCAGTTTTGTAAATTCTTTGAAACAGCTCTAGGTTCCTCTATTTTAAGGAACCATGTATTATTTAATCAGGTTATCAAAAAGGATGGTTCTTAGCACAATACACACAATGTTCATTGGACTGTCAACAGAAAAATCTGGCTACCTGAAATTTGTCATGGTTCATTGATTTGCACATTTTTGAGTGTAAGAATCCTCATGTGAAAATGAATTACCCCCTTTGTTTTAGTAGAAGAATGAGATACATCAGGTTGCATGCAAGACTTGAGTGTCTGCTTTACACTTGTTTCGGTGTACATGATAACAGAAGTAATGGATAGTGAACTATCAATTTATTTAATAAATGCTTTGTGTTTTGTTTCTTTAAAAACTAGCCAAATATGGAACTATGCAGTTGTTTAACCTACAGCTGGCTAAAAAATAAGACCTATTTTAATTAGCCACTGCAGTTTGTTGGATTTAAAACTTAGGAGAGATAACTGATATGGTTGTACACTTTTGCAGCAAGGCAAAATAAAGATGCAAAGCATGCATAACAGAGGTTGTCAGAGAGAGAGTATAACTTCAGGAAAGTGAAATTACAAACAGAAATTTGAAGTGTTTCTGTAATATTGAGTTTGGTGAGTGTAAAAAAAAGTATGGTTAGTATTGTGAGATGGAGCCGAAGAAAGGTTCTACACTAATTCATTATCAACTGGCCTGGTAGCGACTCCAACATTAATCTGTGTGTGTGGACAAACCAAAGAAGAGAGATTAAGACGAGGAGCCAGGAAGGGCAGAAATTAAAAAAAAAGAAATACTGTTGTGCTCATGTAACTGTGATTTCCATCCCTGTACAGTAAGATGAAAATAAATGACAGGGTCATAGAATTCACTTTTTTCATGCCATATTGATTAAGATAGTGATCTTGAAATCCAGACTCAATTAGTATGTTAATACCATTAATTTAGTTTTACAGGTTGGAGTCTGGTTGTCTATATGAAACAGACAACCAAAACAAGCAAATAAATACTCCACTTAAAATTCAGAGCACGACCACCAGCAAGCCAGCGGCAGGCTGTCCTGCATAAGGGTAACTGAAAAAAAGCAAGACTGAGCAAGAACTTTTTTTTAAAGGCTACTTAACAGTTTGTAAATTCCTTCTCAGATAAGCCTAATAATGACAAACAACTTAGCAAAATAAAATTTAGATTTGAAGCCATGTTAGGATTTTTCTAAAAGTACTGTCTAATTACTATTTGTGGCTTTTACAGAGAAACTGTTTTACATTTGTGTGTACTTCTCTTTCTTTGTTAGTTTCCATAATGGAAAAGGCCAGTACAGTTTTCAACAGTGCACAGAGGCTGGAAGTTGTTAGAAACTGCATCTCATTCATATTTGAAAATAAAAATTTGGAGACTGAAAAGGTAATAATAATAATAAAGTTAACTCTCCTAAATAAGCATTTACTGCCTCCAAGTTAAACTAGCACATGGTAAGTGACTGAGTGACCTCCTCTCAAACCCTGTCACATTTCTTGTTGTGTTTTTTAATGTTCATTATCTGTTCAGTCATTTAAATGTGTGATAATGGTAAGCAGCATAACCACCAAATGGTCTAAATACAGTACCATATGGTAGTGCGCAATTGCTCCCTCTGAAGACCTGTTTTTAATGTTCAGTATGATCATTCAATTTTTGGCTAACCATCCAGAGATTATTCATCACATATTATTTTCCATATGGGTTTACAAAAAAGATAATTGAGAGTTTCAGCCTAATTGTTCCAGTTGTGAGGAATGTAAACAAAATATAGGCATAGTCATTTAATCTCATTGTTTGCCAACAGGTGCTCTATTGAACTTTTCAACTAAGTTAATTCTTGTCTGTTTTAAAAGTGATAACAGAATTTTGTGCAATGTATAGAACACAGGACAGTGCTTAACTATTTGACTCATTTTTAGTAAAATCCACTAGTAACTTGCCACAATTGTTGTCCTTGATAGTTTTATTACTTCTGCCTTTCAGATATGGCCAGCTTTTGTGGATTCCGTCCATGGAATTTTACAACTATTAAATTCAACAGCATATCATTTATTTATTTATTTTTTACAACAAAAAGCTCAGGACAGAAAACCAAGTGGATTGTCAGCTTGATTCAGAAAACAAATTAGAGCTTTAATTCTACTATTTTTTTTCAGTTTTGTACATATATCACATATATAGTGGTGAAATCCATGTGATAAAATGAATTCTTAAGTGTCTTTGTCTCACCTGCATTGTGCCCACAAATCCACCTCTTTTGAGACTATTTCCAACACTCAAAACCTCTGAGCAACTTCTAGTGTCTGCATTTAAAGGGAGGGGGAAAAGTTGATCCAGAAATGTTATTTCTCCCCCACTCATTAGATTTGGAGGAAGTTGCCTTTCAAATTTCACAGATCTGTGGTTCATGCCGGACAGTATTCAATCCTGAAATAGGAACGTAGTTTAATTATGTCAGAACTCATCAAGGCTGTAAAATGACATATATTAGAAGTGAATTCTAGATATTATGTCTGGAAAAGTTATTTTAGGAAATTTGTAGAGATTTCTAAAATTTAGCTATAAATTTGCTCTCCCTGGAGACCTGTATAGATGAGTTCATGTACTAAGTCACTTGGCTTTAGTAGTGGAGGGGTATGAAAGAATCCCAATAAAATTCGTACTAATTTTTCCAAGTATTTTAAAAATAGTTTTTCCATAAAATATGTAGTTTATTTAGAATAAATCATGGCATGGTATAAAGATTTTATTGGCACTTGTTTGGGATGATCCGCATGACATACTAGTGGCTCCACTGCTTGTGAATAATGTGTCCATCCCAATCTCATGCTGAAAAACTTTATAATTCACTATATATCAGGACAGATTCTCAGGACCTAGCCCATCATATGTTCTGTCTCTACCAGAGTGACAGAGAGCCCTCACTCTCATGCACAATAATCTTCTGACTGATTTCATATTTGTTTTGTTACTTATCTGTATTCATTTTTCCCCACTTCGAGATTTAGCAGAAAATTTCTGCAGTTGATTAATGGTGTATATAAAAAGAGCAATCAGAGCTTGAATGTCAATGCCTCGTTTAGCAAAAAATCAGTTATCATGAGAATTTGATGTTCTGGCTCTGGATTCATTTGGACTTTTAATTTACTGTTCTTATTTGAAGTGTCTTGACAAAGAATTAAAGACAGCCAGTATTTCAGTGACATTTCAGATCATTTTAATGAGGTTAGGATTTCTTCTCTGCAGACTCTGCCCGCTGCGTTGAGGGCACTAAAAGGAAAGGCAGCTCGACAGTGCCTCACACAGGAGCTAAGCCTGCATGTTCAGCAAAATCGGGCAATACTGGACCACCAGCAGTTTGATTACATAGTGCGGATGATGAACTGTACTTTACAGGTATTTTATGCTTCTTTTGGCCTCCTTTCCCATTCCTCCTTGGTTATTTTAAAATAGCATTGATTGTGATGGTGGGGAGTTTGATCGGGGACAATGCAGTGTAGTAGATTTAACAAGTGTTACCTGTCCATAGAGTTCTGAGACCTTTAGAGTTGAAAAGATAACAAGCCAAGATCCATGTTGCTCTGGCCAAGTACATCTATTCAGTACCATAGTGTTAAATCTCCTTTCCATTCATACTGTAATATGATCAATTTTTTGTTTTCTTTTGAAAAATATTAATTATTCCATTAAGCATATTGCCATCCTTAAAGAAATTGCCTTTTAAAATTGTTTCAATTGATTTGAAGCCCAGGATCTGTCTATTTTATGCTATTTCTGTTGAGAACCTTAGCTTGAGTGTTATTTACTGACATTTTGCACGGTGAAATCCAGTGGTTCTGAGAAGTGCCACCAATATGGACAAAAGCATAGACCATCCATTATCCAGTGAGTGGTACCAATTGATTGGTACAATATCAGTTAGAGTCCCCTTTCACTATAGACCATCAGTACAGAAATGGATTCACTTGTCTCATGTGCCAAAGACAATTTTAACAGTAATAGTTTATTTTATCTAATTAATGATATTGTATGTTACATAGCAAAAAGTTATTTATTGGCTAGAGAGAAAATTCTGACTCCCTTGTAAAGATGACAGCTTTAATTTGGTTTCAGTTAACCAGTAAAAGTGGTTGGGGGACTGGTATTCATGCTTGTCAGTGATGAAATTTTAGTGTCAGAGGTACTCCCTACAGCTGTTTATAGCTTGCTTTTGCGATGATCCTAATGATTTTTTTTAAGTATTCCATAGCCAAAGTCTGACCAGCCTATTCCAACCAAACTAAACTAAAATAAACCGTGTAGATCATTTTGGCCTTCATTTGAACTATTTGGTCTGCCTATGTCCTGGCATGTACTTGTCAGAAATTGTAGGTCTGATCTAAAAGTCTGCAAGGTTTCAGCCTAACATCTGAATATGTTTAAAATATTTTACATTTTTAGAGTGTGATAATGTTTGCTGTGGGTAATTTAGATCTCTAACCTTTTTTCCTTTAAACCATTAAAGTTCTAAGAATTACATTGCAAAATGTAAAAGAAAGATCTTTGAATATCAGCTCTTTACAGGTTTCTGTTCTTAAAACAAAGGGGCAAGCAAATTTGCTCATTTTAATTCATCTGGCTAGTTGTTTTAAAGATGTTTCTCCGTGTTTTAATATTAACTTTTTATGGTATGTATTGTACATTATGGTGTAATGAGAAGAAATTCAGAAAGATTATAGCATCTGTATTGTCATGTAGATTAAAAGAAAACAAAGAATACAGCCCCATAATTTAGGGCATGGTACCATTCTGTAATGTATATAATTTGTTACACTAAAAATAGTATGGCTTTTACTTTCAATTTATAATAAATTTAAATAGCTATAGATGTGTACATTGATTATTTGAATATGAACTGTGTATGACTATATGATGCACTGTATCTTTCATAGTAAAAACTCACTACATCTTAGACTCATGCTGATATTGAATGTTCCTAATAGGCCCCAAGGTGAAAGCCTAGCTTTGAATTTGTTATTTATGGTCAACATGGGATTTATTAATATTTATATTTCTTCTTAGAACTGTGTGCTTTTCAGGGTCTAAGTTAACAGTCTGAACATTTTTAAAGCAGTGAAAGTTCCATGGCCGTGTGTCCAAATATCAGTAATGTTATTTTAGAAAAGCAGAGTTGGTCAAAATGAACCAAATCTAGATAACAGTGATTTTATCAATAATTAATTAAATAATTTATTATTGCTTTCCCTAACCTTGAGATGTTCTGTTTCCTATACATAAGATGGCAAGTTTTTATTCCAGTATGCATACGATAGAGTATAATTACCACAATGAGGTTGTTTATTTCCTTTATCAAGCAGTTTTTATGCCAACGCAATGAAAAGTGGTTGGCAAAACACATAGCCCTCCTCCTGTGCATTTGTCTGTCACTCAAAAGCAAGATCAGCTCATAAACCTGTCTAAATAGTTCCATTCGCTTGGAATATGGAAGTAATTACATGAAAATAGCTGTGTTTGAGTAATATGACTTTTACCAAGTTTGAAGAGATTGAGGTTGTTTAAGCAGTTATGAGGTGATGTCTGTTCAAATGACAGGTATGTGTGTAGGACTGTGCTTATTCATGTTTTACATAAGATTTTGTATGTGTAATTACTTTGTTGAATTGTTTTTCTGTAATGCTGACTTTATTAAAACTACCAGAAGAGCGGTAAGAACACCCATTGTTTATATAAATAAGGGTTTTTTAGACATCCTAGCCCAGGGGTGGGCAAACTTTTTGGCCCGAGGGCACATCTGTGTATGGAAATTGTATGGTGGGCTATGAATGCTCACAAAATTGGGGGTTGGGGTTTGGGAGGAGGTGAGGGCTCCAGCTGGGGGTGTGGGCTCTAGAGTGGGGCTGTGAATGAGGGATTCGGGGTGCAGGGGTGGGTGCTCCAGGCTGGGACCGAGGGATTCGGAGGGCGGGAGGGGGATCAGGGCTGAGGCAGTGGGTTGGGGTCTGGGAGGGGTTCAAGTGTGCAGGCTCTGGGTGGCGCTTACCTCAAGCAGCTCCCAGAAGCAGCGGCATGTCCCCCCTCCGGCTCTTACACAGGGGCGTGGCCAGGCAGCTCTGTGTGCTGCTCCGTCCACAGGTGCTGTCCGCAGGTGCCTCCCAGGCCAATGGGAGCTGTGGGGGCAGCACTTGGGGCAAGGGCAGCATGCAGAGCCCCCTGGCTGCCCCTACCCGTACAAACCGGAGGGGGGACATGCCACTGCTTCCAGGAGCCACGTGGAGCGGCGCAAGCCCCCAACCCTGCTTCCCGGCAGGAGCTTGAGGGCCGCATTAAAAAATCTGAAGGGCCGGATGCAGCCCCTGGGCTGTAGTTTGCCCACCTCTGTCTTAGTCTCATGCAAATATGTTCTCAGGGGCAAATCCACCACAGTTCTGCTTCATGAGGGGGACAGGATGTAGAATATTGCCTAGGAGAATCTGTACCTCAAGTTCCTGGCTGAGGAGAGGGAAAAGATGTAGCCAGTGGACTGACAAACCATGCAAATGATCTGGGCCAGTGGTCTCTGTAGGAGGAACATAGTGGGCTGTGACTCAGAGGCTTCAGCAGCAGCCACAGACTGGCTACAAAACTGATTCATGCCCTATCTCTGGGTTATGAAGGATTCCTTTTCTTCCCACATCTTCCTGTATATCCCCCTCGTAACATTCATTTACCCAGCTTTTGTGCTGGGGACATGAGTTTGGCCCTTCAGAAATATTCCTGGCCCAGTTATTTATGGGCTGTTAGAGAAATAAAAACAAAACTAGTAAAACTGTCCAGAACTGACCAAAACAAATTGTTAGTACTCCAAGCGGCACCCACTAAATTAGTCTTTTTTTTTTTTTGTAAGGCATACTATGTAAATAGTGAAATTATTTTACGCACACACTGTTTTCTGCTAGGACTTTTTTTATTTGTCTGGCCTTCTGAAGCAATAGCATTTGAAGCTATCTTGCACATTTTAATAGCATTCTTAAACCTTTTCTGATTGGAGTCACCCAATATCATTTTTTTTAAAGTATTGTTACTTTTGCGCTCATCCTATGTAGTATGTAGATGTTAAATACTAGGCATTCAGGTGCAGCCTTTGAATGTAAATTTTTTGCTGAAGTCTTCTGAACTAATTGCTAAAATACTGTAAAGGTTTCATGAATGTTTCTTATCTAAGACTAACATGGTGACAAAAGTTTGACAGTATTTGCAGGCCGTCTTAGTTTGGAGCTATGATATTCTATCAGCAAGGGGAGGATTAAGACGCATGGCCTTTTTGAGTCCTTGGAGCAGGGCTTAATAGTCAGAAGAGACTTGAGGAACAGTGTTGTTGTAAATGCCCTCTCCTCAAATTCTCAAAACAAGAGGTAGACTAGGATCCACCATTTGAAGAACCACACTTACTATATTGTAAGTAACCACTCTTTATCACTGAAGTGAGCACATCTAATATGCAGAGGGAACAGACATATTGAGTAAGAAGGTCTCTTTTCTGAGTATCTCCATACTTTTTTAAACATGAAGTGGAGCCATCCATTTCTTAGTAGCAAACTTGGCCAATTTGCGAGATTTTCTGATTCTTTTTCAGACATTTATACAGTTAGGTAGAGATGTAATCGATAACATTTGTTGCTCCACATGTGGAAAACATCACTATTTTTTTTTCAAACTGAAGACATCTTGGCGCAGGGACAATCTTTTTGCTCTGTGTTTGTACAACGTTTAGCAAAATGGCGTCCGGTCCATGACTAGGACTCGTAAGTGCTATGCTAACACAAATAATAAATAATAGTGATTCATAATTTAAGTGTGTCCCTCTTTGTCCACCCACCTTGGGTTTTGGAACATTTTTTTTCTTCTTAATATATATATAGTGACGTTTAGCTGATTTCCTTTATCAGCTAATGGGTGGAAAGGATAACTTTGTAAGAAGACATGTTACGCTCCTTTATACAAAGGAGCTATAAAATCAAGATGTATAAAGTGATTTCTCACCAAAGCATTTATAGATGCATCTATGATGGGATTCCCGTGGTACAACATTGAACTGTGGGATCTCTGTGCCCCTTAACACTCCTCCATGATGCTTTGCTAGTGACAAGAAGCAAACCTTTCAAGGTTCTGTGGTCACTCAGTCAACATCATTCAGGGACATACCCAGCTTAGTTACATGAATGCTCTCTAAGCCACTCATGAATCATACACAGGGAAACACCAGTGCTCAGGATATACTTGTTCATTAGCCCGTTCGTTTATAAGCCGACCCCCCCTCCCCCAAAATGGATAGGTAAAAATAGCAAAAACTGTATGACCCTTTCATAAGCTGACCTTATATTTCAGGGGTTGGAAAACTTTGGCTCCCAGCCCATCAGGGTAAGCTGCTGACAGGTTGGGACGTTTTGTTTACTTGGAGTATCTGCAGGCATGGAGCCCCTCAGCTCCCTATGGCTGCAGTTCACCGGTCCCAGCCAATGGAAGTTGCGGGACGTGGTGCCAAGGCCATGATCTGCTGAAACTTATCCATGCCTGCAGACGCCCCAGGTAAACAAAACAACAATGTATTAGATATTCAATTCAATGATTCCACAGAGTTTAAAATCATCAAATTTTGGTGTAGACCCGTTTATAAGCCGACCCCCGTCTTGATGTGTCACTTTTTTACCAAAAATATTCGGCTTATGAACGAGTATATACGGTAGTTCGTCACTTCGTCAAAGGATAGTGGACATGATTACTAGCCTTTGTAATCTGAGCAGATTCCCCAAGCATTTTAGACAAACTCACTGGAAAGGATAAAACATTAAAACAAGTTTATTAACTACAGAAAGATAGATTTTAAGTGTTTATTAGTGGTAGGCATAAAGATCAGAGATAGTTACCTAAGAAAATAAAAAGTAAACATGCATTTTAAATCCTAAACTTTCAGACTAAGCAAGATTTGAATCAAACAGCTTTTCTCATGCCGCTGGATATTGCAGGCAGGTTACAGTTCTTAATACACAGGCTGAATTTTCTTTTCAGCCTGGGACCAGTCTTCAGTTCAAAATCTGTCTTTCCAGTGTTCTTGTTGCCTTCAGCGTAGGTGGAGGAGGAAAGAGGTGGACTCATGATGCCACTGTCCCTTATTTTATACTCTCAAGTCATGTCCCAGGAAAGATAATGGCCCAGGTATGTCCTGCTGAGCCATGCTGAGTCGCAGCATTGAGCAATCCCCATTGTGTAGTGCTCAACTGTCTCTTACAGAATTTTAAATCTCTTGTTTACAATTCCCCTGATGGTCAGTGGCTCATGATGGTCACTTAACACACCCACACCACCTTTATTGTCACTGGAGAGCTACCAATGAGTGTTTCCCAAGCTCTCAACATTTCAATAACAACCATATAGCAAAATCTCATAACTCCATACGCAATAACGATATACATATTTTGACAGAACAATAAGTTTCAGCAGATCATGGCCTTTCATATGATATCTTACAGAGCATGTCTGAAATATCTCAACCACATATGAATGATGAATATGGGGATTACAGGGTGCTACATTGAGGTACAGTGCATCACAGCATCATTGGAGTGATCCTGAGAATTCCTCCTTAGTGGTTATATTTTTTTCTAACAGAGGTGTCCAGTGATCTTTTTTGACTAAGAAATTTCATTAATTAGGTTAAATGAGAAGATCTTCAACTGTGAAAATGCCACATATATATGAAATCAGAAGGATTCTTCATTAGTTTCCAACAAGTGATATTCGATCTCACCAGCACTTCCCAAATTCTTTCCCACTAGATAATTTAAATGCATCAGAAAAACATACTTTTACTAAAGAACACCTTCCCTTTTATTTCTAACTGCATAAGAATTTAGGTCACATACTGCATATCTTGCACTCCCAAAACTTCTATATAGGTCATTAAAGAGTTGCTGTAGCTAACAGATGTATAATATCCTGATAATAATCGCATATGTTTTATAACCAGTATCACTTGGCATATTTTTAAAGTGCCCATCACAATAATATTTGCAGAGTACATCAGTTCCCTCAAGGAAGAGGAACAAAGTCCCTCTGCCCTTCTCCATAGATCAGTGGTTCCCAACTGGGGCTTGGGGCTGAAGCCGAACCCCGAAGGATTGGGCTCAGGGTACAGGCCCCCTGGCTGGGGCTGAAGCCCTTGGGCTTCGGCTTCGACCCCTACCCTGTCCAGGGCAGTGGGGCTCAGGCTTTGACTTTGACTCCCCACCCGGGGTGGTGGGAATCAGACTGACTCAGGCTTCGGTCCCCCCTCCTGGGTCATGTAGTAATTTTTGTTGTCAGAAGGGGGTCACTGTGCAATGAAGTTTGAGAACCCCTGCCATAGATTAAAGCCAGTTATGTTTTTAAAGAATCAAAGCTAGAGGTTTGTTTACTAAAGTATCCAGTTTGAAGCCATTTTGCAACTCAGTTTTGCTAAAAAGAGAAATCTGGCAACATTTGCTCAAAGTGGCAAGACTTGTGCTTATCTGGATCTTTGGGCTCTATCTGTCTCAGCCTCTCAATCAAAACATTGTCAGTGGCGGAGTGTGAAGCAAAAAACTCTTTCTGAAGGATTTGCCTTAGCCTATTTAGAGCTTGAAGTAAAGGAATCAAGGATTTTGAAATGGCCCCTTATTGGATAGGCAGACAATGTATGCAATAGAGGACTGGTGTCTCTCATGCTTGTCTGCCTTACTTAACAGGCAGGCAATTGCATGATAAACCCAGCTGTAGTTTTTAGGTGACCTTCAGGGTCAGGTCATGATAGAGCAATGTGCAGTAGGTCAGTCTTGAAGTGCCAAAAGTATGTGCCACTGTGTCTATATCTGCATCTGAGAAGTAATGGCATAATCTGCTAAAAGAGAAATGAAAGATGTGATCACCACTCATAGCGGGCAATCCAGAAGGGCCTGGACATTGTGGGACACATTGACAGGAGGACAGATATCTTTTAATGAGGGGCATATCACAGCTAAATCCTCAAAACACTTGTCTCTATCTACCAGCATCATCATGTGGTCTTTTGGGAATGGACTTTAAGAATACTTTTCCTCCACAGTCCTTAAGAACATTCTTTCCATTCCCTGAGTAAGGGTGTTTCTCCTAAGGGATTTTAAAGTTATGCCAAGTATATAAGTAGCAAAAGTATTACAATAGTAGTTAATACTTCGATGCTTTGCTATCATAGGTATTATGTTCTGTTTTACTAAGGTTAATTAGATAACTTTGTTTATAGTATTCTACACTGTTTATTACATTTTGTATATTAGTTTAAATATCATCTCCATATGGGCAGTGTTGTAATCTACAACATGTACAAGTGTCATCTAGAAACTGTTTCAATTATGTTTATTTTCTGCTGCTATGGTTGCTTGGCTAGCATTTACAGTCATTCAAGTTAAGTAAAATTCCATAGCTGGCATTCTTTATTTTCTCTTCTGTTTTTTCTTTAACTACCCCTTTAGTTTTCCATAAGAAATATTTTTCTCTGCCTTGAAAGTAAAGATTGGCAATAGTTGTAAAGATACTTGGATCTGAAAAGCGAGTGTACTCCAAGTTATATACCTTGTGACAAAGTTCCTCCTCTACCATGGTGGGTCCTGCGCTTATTGGCGGATTTGCTCGCTTCACAGATTCACCCTGTTGGTCAGGAAACTGTCCAGAGACCTTCCCCTCTGGTAGAAGCTATAGTCCAGGTCAATTCCTCCTGTGTTTGATCAGGAGTTGGGAGGTATGGGGGGAACCCGGGCCTGCCCTCTACTCCAGGTTCCAGCCCAGGGCCCTGTGGACTGCAGCTGTTTAGAGTGCCTCCTGGTACAGTTGCACAGCACCTACAACTCCCTGGGCTACTTCCCCATGGCCTCCTCCCAACACCTTCTTTGTCCTCACCACTGGACCTTCCTTCTGATGTCTGATAACGCTTATACTTCTCAGTCCTCCAGCAGTACGCCTACTCACTCTCAGCTTCTTGCACTCCTCTTGCTCCCAGTTCCTCACACACACTTCCTCTCCTCTGGCTCCGCCTGGCTTGACTGGAGTGAGCCCTTTTATAGGATCAGAGGGGCCTTAATTAGAGTCAGGTGCTTAACTGCCTCACCTGACTCTTAGCAGGTTAATTGGAGTCAGGTGGTCTGTTAGCCTGGAGCAGCCCCTGCTCTGGTCACTCAGGGAACAGAAAACTACTTATCCAGTGGCCCGTATATCTCCCTTCTGCTACTCTGCTGTTCCCAAATGGTCTGGGTCTCTGACAACCTGTACAATACCTTGATTAATCATAACTTAGAATAATTAGCAGTTTTGAGTGTGGGAAATATATTTCAAACAAACCTAAGTGCATAAAATATTGACTTAAAATAAATATGCAATCCTAAAATGATGCTTTATCCTGTTTTGCAGGAGATGCTTTTTTTTCTGCTTCAGATATATAGTGTAGGCACTATGTCTAGCTCTCTTTGAAGTTGGAGGAGCTGAAAACTATATAATTAAAACTTTGAGTAGTCCTGTTGAGTTATTTGGGTCTACTCACAGTGGGAAGCACTATGCCTGGTACTAAGTATTTGAAGAATTAAGTCCTTAGTTTTCATTTTTAGGATTTATTAATAGTTTTTACAAGGAAAAGGCAGGTACTTTAAATGGGAACCAATATGAAGTTCCATAGCCTTCGGGGGCAGGAAAATTATATGTGGAAAACACATGTAAGGAAAGATTGTTCTGTATTAGGATGCTGTTTGTCAGGGATTAGATTATTTTAGCATCCTTGAATGGCTTTTTATTAAATATTCAACCAAATGAGTTAGATAGAAATGGGTTGATTGTATAATAATTAATACCATTTATTTTTGTCCAGATTAGGCACATAAGAATTAAATCAATTTTCTTCATGCAAATATTTTTCTTTGGTGACATCAAATTTGTCTTCTGCAACCATAAAGCTTAAAAATTGTCAAACAACTCTTACAATCTAAGCATCCAGGGAATACTGTCCAATAACTAGAAAGATTTTATTATTTCCAAGAGAGTGAGAACTACTATGCCCATATGATTCAGAATACTGGGCACAGTAAGCATAAGTGAAACTGCATTCTTCATATTTTAGGTTGGAAACAGTGTATGCCAGATGTCTTTATTTTGGAAAGTTGTTATATGTCTTTGAAATGCTTGTCCTTCCAACCTTTTTCATTGGCTCACCTCTCTGTTGCTCAGCTTGATTAGCAGTTCTGTAAGCAGAGACTCTTAGAAGTACTGCTGGACAGCTGCAATTCTAGGAAATATTTAAAGATATTTTTAAGAGGTAGAAGAGATATTGAAGAAAGATTGTGAAGGTTTACTGGGCCCACTAACTATTCCAGTACTACCACTTGAGAAAATAAGTGAAAGAAGAAATGAGAAAAAAAAATAATGGCAAAATATTAGTTTCAGTATCATGGACTTTGAATGTGGAAAATAATTGATTGTAGAGAGTATGAAAATCTCTCATTCAAGCAGAGTAATGTGGTTGTGTTCAGTAGCTTAAACTATTTCTCCTAGCATTTCTTATGCTGTTAGATATGATCATGATGTGATATGAGTCAGAGGACAGATGATCCAGTGATTAGGACATTAGCATGGGATGTGGGAGACGCAGGTTTAATTTTCTGCTCTTCCACAGATTCTAGTCAAGTCATTCAGTTTCTTTGGCCTAGATTTTTAAAGGTACTTAGGCGTTGCTCTGCTCACAATTGCAATGCCCAATTGACTTCAGAGCGTAAGACCCATTAACTTTTCACTTTTGAAAATGAGATCCTGTGTGGCCCCACAGTTCAGACTACAGGGGTGAGAATTGCCATGTGCACTAGTACGCTGTGCCGTAACTCCGCCATGCCGATGGTGCAGGCACAAAAAGGTACATGGTTCACATTAACTTAGTGCAGAGGAGTATGTTAATGTAAACCACTTACCTTTTAGTTCACGCCCGCAACATCCACATTGGAGTTACAGTGCAGCTCTCTAGTACATGCTGCAAGACACACTCCTGTAGTCCAAACTGCAGGGCCGTGCCGTACCCTTAGGCTTCTAAATCAGCTAGGCTCTGTAATATTGAGCAGAACAACACCTACATACCTTGATAACTTGTGCTTCAGTTCTCCATCTGTAAAATGGGGATAATAGTATTTCACTACCACACAGGGGTGTTGTGAGGATAAATACATTAAAAATTGTGAGGTGCTCAGATATTATGGTAGAAGAGAGATATAAGTATGTTAGATAGGTAAATCACAGAAGTTTGGGGTTTTTTGATCTCTCTATATATACCTACAACAAGAGACTGTCTAAAAATATAAAAAACATGAAGTGTCATCAAAAGACTGCAACTCCAACTTCATGAATAAGGCACTCTTTACAAAGCAGTATGGTCTAATGGACTAAGCAGAGGTTTGAGAGGCAGGAACGTCTCAATTTTAAACCTAGCTTTTTAGTTTACTCAGTCTGAATCCCTGAGGAACGGTCACTTATCTCTCTGAGTGTTTTCATCAACTGTAATATGGGGAAACTATACTTACCTAGTACTGGGTGAGTTGTGAGGTTTACTTTGTTAATGTTTGTGAAGCGCTGTAAAGTTGTAAAAGGCTCACGGTCAATTCACATATTTTTACTGAAGTCAGTGGAAGTTTTGCATTCAAAAGATGGCAGGGGTGGGCCTTTTGTTATATATTACAGCACAAATTGATTTAATTCCCATTACTAGTTCTTGGCTGTCTTATGGAGTTTATTTCAGAGCAAGGCACTTCACATCTTCTGTTTGTTAAATTTTAGGTTTTGAAAGTTATGGTTAGTTTATACATTTTTCTTTGTTATTTATTTTACTCTCTAGCCAATTAAACTTTTTTGAATTCTTTCATAATTTCTTTGCAATTTGTTTTCTTTACAAATTGGACTGGTAAGTTCACATCTGCGTATGTTGTAACATAAGTGGGTCTCCTCATTCCATGTCTTTTTATTTCTTGCTTAGCTATTTCTGATTAGGTGTTCATCTGTTCTGATAGTAAATTGGTAGTATGTTGCGTTTGCTTTACAGTATTGTTACTAAGGGCATGTCTACACTGGCAGAGTTACTGCGCCGCTCAGAGAGTGATGAAGGGAAACAGTGTTGTGTGTTCACACTGTCGGCTGCTGTGTTCACAATAGTGTGTTCACAATAGCATGTTCACACTTGCGGCGGTATTCGGAGCAGTGCACTCTGGGCAGCTATTCCACGGAGCATCTCTTCCTCTTCTGCCACTAATTGTTGTGGGAAGGCGAAGGGGGTCATGGGACCTCCTGAATCCTGTACCAATACCCCGTGATGCATTGCTTTGCATCCCAGTAATCTCTGTGCTTCCATCCGCATTTGACACCATCTTTCAACGGTTTGTGTACTGCACGCCCTGCCTCTTCAAGCTGCAGGAATGGATCCTGAGTATGCTGCTCGCTCTGACCAACACGTCATGAGTGGCAGTGGAGTTATTCCTTAAACTACAAAGGCAAGAGTAGCTAAAACACGAGATTGCTTGTGGCTTTCACGGAGGTGCTGACCACAGTGGAACTCCGCTTTTGGGCTCGGGAAACAAGCCGACTCGGTAGGATCACATCATGATGCACGTCTTGGATGACGAGCAGTGGCCGCAGAACTTTCGGATGAGGAAAGCCACATTCATGGGACTGTGTGATCAGCTCACCCCAGCCCTGCAGTGCAAGGCTGAGAAAATGAGAGCTGACCTGCCGTTGGAGAGGCATGTGGCGATTGCACTGTGGAAGCTGGCTACTCCAGAATGCTACCGATAGGTCGCTAACCAGTTTGGAGTGGGAAAGTCTACCATTGGACTCGTGTTGACGGAAGTGTGCAGGGCCATAAATCTCATCCTGCTGTGAAAGACCATGACTCTGGGCATCATGCGTGACATTGTAGATGGCTTTGCAAAAGTGGGCTTTCCTAACTGTGGAGGGGTGATAGATGGCACGCATATTCCAATTCTGGCACCAGACCACCTAGCTACCGAGTACATTAATCGCAAGGGGTATATCTCAATGGTTCTCCAGGCGCTTGTGGATCACCATGGGCGTTTCACAGACATTAACACAGGCTGATCCGGAAAGGTGCATGACACATGCATCTTTCGGAACACTGGCCTGTTCGGGAAACTACATGCAGGGACTTTCTTCCCAGACCAGAAGATCACCGTAGGGGAAGTTGAAATGCCCATTGTGATCCTGGGAGACCCCCAGGTACTCCTTAATGCCATGGCTTATGAAGACATACACGGGGCAACTTGATAGCAGCAAGGAGTGGTTCAACAGGCTGAGCAAGTGCAGAATGACTGTTGAGTGTGCTTTTGGCTGTTTAAAAGCCCGCTGGCGCTACCTCTGTGGGAAGCAGGACGTGGCTGATGACAATATTCCTATGCTTATAGCCGCATGCTGTACGCTCCATAATATCTGTGAAGGGAAGGGTGAAAGCTTCACCCAGGGCTGGACCACAGAGGCCCAGTGCCTGGAGGCTGAGTTTGAACAGCCGGGGACCAGGCCTATTAGAGGGGTGCAGCACATTGCCATAAGGATCAGGGATGCTTTGAGACAGCAATTTGAAGCTGAAAGCCACTAATATTTGTTGGTATGTTCGGGAGTGCGGTGCTTGTAATGCTAGGAGGTGATTGGTGCAGACGATGCAATATGTGGGTTTAACATAATTGTATGTTGCTTTGCAGGGCTATTTTTGCTTTCAATTAATAGAATAAAGATTGCTTTCAAACCAACACAATTCTTTTATTAAAAAACAACAACTGGAGAAGAGAGTCAAACAAAAAAAACATCAGCAGTGAGGGGGATGAGGGAAGGGAAGGTCTCGGGAGGAGAAGGTGTCCCGGGATGGCTAAAGACTTGTGTATGTCCAGGGATCATATCCAATCTTCGTATCCTTTGGAGTACAATGCAGCGGGTACTGTACTTCAGCAGGGCCAAACTGCAGAGGGATGGGTGTTGAGTGCAGTGGGTAGTGGAAGTCCGCAGTGCTGGACTGTAAGGGGGGAGGAGTGGAAGTCTGCAGTGCTGGACTGTAAGGGGGGAGGAGTGGAATGCCGCAGGAATAGACTGGAGCCAGGAGGTTGATAAGAGTGGGTTGCGGTGTCTGGGGGGAGCATGGGAAAGAGTTTTGCGACAGGGGCTGCAGGGGAGGGCGGGCATGGAGCTGCTCGGTTTGAAGAGCTAATATCACCTGGAGCGTGTCTGCTTGGCGCTCCATAAGCTTTAAGAGCCGTTCCTTGGCTTCATTCTCGTGTGCCACGTTCTCCTTTCGATCCCTCTTCTCTCTGTCCCGCCGCTCCTTCAAGTCCGGTTTCTCGGTGGTGGAGTACATCATAAGTGAAGTGAGGGAGTTAATCAACAGCCTGTTCTGCCGCTCAGACTAGGCATGTGGTGGGAGACAAGCCTGCTTTCTGCAATCCTCCTGCCCCCAACAACTCGCTTCAGCGATTCCCAAAATCAAATCCACTTACCAGGGGCCTCCTCTCCTGTTTGCGCTGCACCAGCATCCGACAGCTGTGACTGGCTAGCCTCCTCCAGGGTAGAGAAGAGCTCCTGGCTGCATGCATCTCTGATCTCCAAGTCATTCTCTGCCTCTGGGTCCCTCTCCCCCTCCACATCCTCGTCCAAGATTTCCTCCTCCTGGCTCGGTCCACTCTCGACTGGCACACGAGCCACCGAAGTATCCACAGTGGTCTTTGCAGTGGAGGTGAGGTCGCCGCCGCATATCGTGTCCAGCTCTTTGTAGAACCGCCAGTTCGGGGGCGCAGCACCAGAGTGGCGGTTTGCCTCCCGCACCTTGTGGTAGGCATTCTGCTGCTCCTTCACTTTGACTCTGCACTGCAGTGTGTCCTGGTCATGGCCCCTTTCTGTCATGAATCGTGAAATCTGTCCATAGGTATCATAATTCCTGCGGCTGGAGCGTAGCTGGGACTGGACAGCCTCGTCTCCCCAAATGCTGATGTGGTCCAGCAGCTCGGCATTGCTGCAAGTGGGGAATCGCCTGGTGCATGGAGCAGGCATGGCCACCTGGAAAGATGTGCTGAGACCATTGCAAGCATCACCGAGCAAACAGGAAGGGGACTTTCAAAATTCCAAAGGAATGTACGGGGTGGGGATGACGGTTGGTCACCTGACGTCAGGGCAGTTCAAACCGATGACCAGAGAGGCGAGAACAGGCATTGTGGGACACCTCCTGGAGGCCAATTGCAGCTCTATAATCGACCACAATATCTACACTGGCACCGCAGCGCTGTAGCCCTGGCGCAGAAAGCTGTATGCCTCTCGTTGGGGTGATCCTTTTTAAGGTGCTACAACTGCACAGTTTCTGCGCACTAAGTGGCTTGGCAGTGTGTACACCTCGGGAGTTACAGCACAGAAAGCCGCTTTACTGCGCAGAAACTTGCCAGTGTAGACAGGGCCTAAGACTAGGACCGTCAATAAATGGATCCTTGAGTCCAGTCAAGCTATGCGTAGGGCAAGACCTGACGGAGTAAAAACTAGGTGTAAACTTCCTTTCTTCTTCCTCAATCCTAAGCCTAGCGGGCTTCTGCTTTGGCCCCAATGTAACTAAAAGCAGACTAAACAGCTGCTGTAATGACACCAGCAGAAATATTTCACTAGGGAGCATTCTGCTACCTCCTACCTGAAGGGGGCCAGAAGCAAGTGACCTAGAGCTTGCCATGCGAGCTTTGCCCCACCGAAAGATTTTCCTTTACTAAAGAAAACTCCAGCTGCCCCAAAAGTAATAAAAACATATATTTGTCATTACTGTGAGTAGATCTGTTGAATAAGAAAATACCCGCACCTCAGTAATGAGTTCTAGCCAGCATTTGGTGGGTATTCTCTACATTTTTCAAAACAGTCCTGCTTTCAAATATATTTAATGTGTCACTAGTTAAATCAGGATTAATGCAGCTAATTGTGAGCTTGTGTTTTAAAAATCAAAAACTGAAAACCTTTCAAGGGAAGATTCCAATATGACAACTTTATATTATGTCTGTCATTGTAACGATTGAAAGATTGTTAGAGCCCCCACTCTCAGCCCTGGGTCCCTGCTCTCAGTCCCTTCCCCCCGCCCTGAGCCATGGGCTGCCAACAGCGGGATCCTCCGCTCTCAGCCCTGGGTGGCTGACAGTGGAAAATCGGGGAAAAATAATAATGACCTTTACTATTGCAAATAATAATGTTCATTATTACTTTTCCACAAATTTTGATGGCTTGTCCGCAACTCAGCTGCAATTTTTGTACAGTCATCCTGCAATTCAAGTAGGGCCTTAATGATTGTTAATTATCTGATTTTCAATCAGAAGGCACATGCATGCTGTAAGGCTTGAAGGGTTTACACAACAGGATATTATATCCATGTATTTTAGTGATGCTAGCTAATTTGTTAAAATATTTCAAGTAGGGCTGTCGATTAATCGCAGTTAACTCATGTGATTAACTCAAAAAAAGTAATTGCGATTAATCGCACTGTTAAAGAAAAGAATACCAACTGAATGTATTAAATATTTTTGGATGTTTTTCTACATTTTCAAATGTATTGATTTCTATTACAACATAGAATACAAAGTGTACAGTGCTCACTTTATATTATTATTTATTACAAATATTTGTACTGCAAAAATGATAAAAGAAATAGTATTTTTCAATTCACCTCATACAAGTACTGTAGTGCAATCTCTTATCGTGAAAGTGTATCTTACAAATATAGATTTGTTTTGTTACATAACTGCACTCAAAAACAAAACAATATAAAACTTTAGAGCCTACAAGTTCACTCAGTCCTTCTCCTTATTCAGCCAAAGGCTAAGAGAAACAAGTTTGTTTACATTTACGGGAGATAATGCTGCCTGCTGAAAGTGAGAACAGGCGTTCGTATGGCACTGTTGTAGCTGGCATTGCAAGAAATTTATGTGCCAGATATGTTAAACATTCATTTGCCCCTTCATGCTTCTGCTACCATTCCAGAGGACATGCTGATGATGCTCATTAAAAAAATGTGTTAATTAAATGTGTGACTGAACTCCTTGGGGGAGAATTGTATATCTCCTGTTCTGTTTTACCTGCATTCTGCCATATATTTCATGTTATAGCAGTCTTGGATGATGACCCAGCACATGTTTTAAGAACATTTTAAGAGCAGATTTGACAAAACGCAAAGAAGGTACCAGCCTGAGATTTCTAAAAATAGCTACAGCACTCGACCCAAAGTTTAAGAATCTGAT